AAACTGACCCAGAATTGGGCCACTCCAGCAATGCTAGGCCAGTTACAGAGGAACCTCCCCAAAACACGGATAACGGATGATTTCACATAGAGCACAATTTTGGAGAAGTCAGAAATCAACTACTCTATTAGGAATAGGGAAAAAATAAAACACAGCAATCCAAAGCTTGAAGCTTTTTTACTGATCAGAAAGACTAAAATAAGTTATTTTTCAAACTGTCCAAGCATAATTTGGAAGTCTTTGAAAACAGGCAAAGCAGCATCATAGGACCAGCTGATACAATGAATATCAAGTTTGTATAAGGCTGTGCCAAACCCTTTCCAATACTGGCTCACTAATCCCTCTCACAACCATCTGAAAAGATATGGGTTATGTTTTCTCCTTACATTAAAAAGAGGAAACCCTGGCCTGGCGCAGTGGCTCACACCTGTATTCCCAGCACTCTGGGAGGTCGAGCTGGGTGGATTACCTGAGCCAGAGCTAGACTTTGTCTCTAAAAAAACACAGCCAGACACTGTAGCGGGCGCCTGTAGTCCCAGCTACTTGGGAGGCTGAGGCAAGGGAATCGCTTAAGCCCAATAGTTTGAGGTTGCTGTGAGCTGTGATACCACCGCACTCTACTGAGGGCAACTTAGTGAGTGAGACTCTGTCTCAAAAAAAAAAAAAAAAAAGAAGAAACCCAGACTAAGAGAGACTCAACAGCTTATCTAAAACTCAGCGAGAAAGTAAAGTCACTCCCTGACAGACAAAATACTGATTTCAAACTGAGGATCAGATGTGACCCTCAATCTTTGCTCAACCCTTCAACATCTTTAAGATCATAGTCAATTTCTTATTTGTGTTAAGCATTTTGACATCCTACAAACCAAACCATACATCATGGGTTAGATCATATTCCCAATATTTGTCACCATCAGTAGGACATGTAATCCTATTTATACCACAGTTCTTATCCTGATTCTTAAGTGCTCTCAATGTTCAGGAATGGGAACAATGGGATGTTGTAGCTCTCTGAACAGTCTCATTCCTGACTGTAGTTGTATTAACAATTTTCAAAGAGTTGGAGGCAATGCAATTCATGTAACACAAAAATAACACAGAACAATCTGAAGCTGATTTACCAGCATAGGTCCTTTAGGACCATATAACACTCTACAGGCAAGACTAGGAACTACTATTATCCCTGGACAATACTATAACTATGAAGGTACAGCAGATTCAGATATGTTTATACTGAACCTAATGCTACTTTTTAAAAATTGTAATAAAAAGATATTACGCTATCATTTGTCTTTTCCTGAAAGCAGTACGTCCCTCCCCCCCAAAAAAATACAATATTGAGTCTTGGATATTTGTGGATGAAACCCAATGCAGATTAAAAAATTCTTAGTCTACCACGAGGTGGACTTCGTATCACTTCACACAAATGAAACATGCAACAGATTTAAATTCACTAATCAGAAAACTATTTGACCATTCACCATCAAAAGAATCTTTCTTGCTGTCTGTTTTATCTTACACATATTCTTTCCAATTTATGCATGAACCCAGAGTAATTAATATTTGAATTTTATACTTTGATAGTAAAAGAATGATTTTAATTGTTCAGATTAATTTTGCAGCTGCATAAGGAAAAGTGAACGATGGTTTACCTGATACTTAGGAACTTATTTGAAAACTGCCTTCCAAATATGTGAACAAGTGAATATGGATAGGAAGAGGTCGTATTTTTCCAACTCTCTGTTAATGACTTTTCATGTTGCCTATTATACTTTTCATGTTGCCTTTATTATACTAAAATAACCAACAAGCTCTGACAATTTTTTGAGCAATTCCTACATGCAATTACTTCAACCAAACAAGAAAATGTCAATTAAAAATTTTTCAGTTAACTTTAACATGTAAGCATTTCTTAAAAAACCAAGTAATGAACAGAAAATGTACTTATTTTATGCACTCTGTGAGAAAGCAAAGTTGACCTATAGCTAACTCAACCTTCAAATTCCATTTGTGGACTGAATGTAGTTTCTGAGAGTGTGGAAAAAAGAGAAGTAAACTGGAAGACCTGAAAAGCATATGACCCAGTTAAATCTGAAAAGATTTGGGAGTCAGAAAATTCTACATTTCACTCTCCAATATAGCAACCACTAGCAACATGTGGCAATTTAAGTTTAAAATAATTAAAAGTAAACAAGACTTAAAATACAGTTTTGCTAGCCACATTTCAAATGTTCAGTTATGTGCCTTGTGGCCGCTATGTTAGCACAGATAGAAACATTTCCATCCCTGAAGAAAATTCTACTGGACGGGTTATTGGTAGCTTGAATCTCAATGCCATTGTTTGTAAAGTGTGCATAACACGGTCAAAATGGAAAGAAAGTTATTGGTATTTTAATGAGATAATGTATTAAAAGCATAGGAAATAGTGCTTAGTACACATCAGATATCCAAGAACAGTTATTAATAACAATCCTATATTGAACTTTGGTATATAATGTTAACTGACCATCAACTTCCCCTTCCTGGGGCTCATTTTCCTAAAGTGAAGAGTTCGGGAAGTTCTTCTGGGTAACTTCCAAGAACCCTATGAAATGCTACCATGTTAAACAAAATGTTGATCAAAGAGGGCACAAACTCCTACTCAGTAAACTATTACCTAGGCTCCTAAAGCTTTCCCAATAGATCCCGAAGCATTTATCCAGAAACCCCGGAAGACTGGCTCTCCAATAGTCTGTGAGCTATTTATAAAGTGTCTTAAAAGATTACCGGAATATCTTTCTGAAATTGTATATTCTGTAATAAGAAACTACAACCCCCTGTTCCATGATGAGATCTTGCAGTTTTAACATATCTTTTAAATGAACACTATGTTTACAGAGGAATTTTTTTTTTCTCTTAACACCCTTTAAGCCAAAACCTTAAGAGCACCTGTGAGTTTAAAAACAATTTTGTAACGATTTTTTTTTAACCAGGTATGCCTCGTTCCTAGCCAGCCTGTGTGTGCCCTCTGGTATGGAAACAAAGTGAGAATTGTAGCCTAGCGGGTGAGGTTCCCTTGCAAGGCCAGAAAGGCGTCCAGAGACTTCACCCTCATTAACAGCTGCTCCCAGGGAGCCGGGAAATTTACTGATCCAGTAAATTTCAGAGTCAGCCTCCAATCAGGGGGAACCAAGGGCCCCCCACAAAAGGCACAAACCCAGGGCTCTGGGCTGCAATTTGCTGTGGGGCGCTGCCCAGGCCCCAGGGTCGGAGTTTCAACCTGGGCGTGGAGAAGCAATCCAGCAGCACAAATGCTCAAGGCCTGAAGCCGCAGAAGAAAAAGCGTTATCCAGAGCAGATTCCTTTTCTTCCGGGTCTGTCCCTCCTTCCCATTCTCAGCCCACAACTACTGTGCCTGCCCTTTCCCAATCTCCCACCTCTTGCCACACTTATAAAGAAAAAAGAAAGAAAGAAAGAAAGAAAAGGAAAAAAAGAGCATATTCCCTCTCCCTTAGCTTTCCCTAGCGAGGCCTGGAAATTGGAGTAAATTCAAATCAAATTAGTTGCACATTAAAAAATAAACAGACGAGCAATCACGGGTGCCCACCCAACAAAAGACCTCACCCAGTCCAAAATATGATTAAACCTAGGAGGGAGGAGGAAGGACTGGAAGCCAGCAGCGGTGGAGAGAAACGTGTGGATTTGGGGCCCCAATGTCGGCCCATTGAGCCAAATTCTAAATTTCGTTAAAAGAAAATGCTGAACTGGGGGGAAAAACTAAAATGTTGTAACTTCTAAGGAAGTCTGCGAACGACACTGTCGGGGTCAAATGTCATCGCTTCCCCCGTCTGGGACTGCAGGGTGGGAGTGGAGGCTCAGGACGCTCCGGCCCCACCGCGCTCTCCGGAGGCCTCCCCGCCGGCACCGCCGGGCCCGGGTCCTCGCGCTCCCACGGCCCGGACCTGGGGGAGTGCGCGGGCACAGCCCAAGGCCCCGCTCTCCGCCCGGAGTGACAGGCCCTTCCCACGCCGGCCGGCCCCAGCCCCGCGGAGGGCACCGGACGGTCCGCGCGGCCCCAGCCAGCCCGCCGGGCCTCCAGGCTCTGCAGGCCCCTTCCGGACGCGGATTCCGCCCACCGCCCGCCCCACCCCTGGTCGGGGCGCCCCTCGGGGTGACCGACTGACCGGAGCTCCGCTGGCCCACACACCGGGTCGCCCGATCCTTCCCGCCGCGCCCGCTCCCCCGCCCGAGCTCCCCGCCGCCCGGCTCGCCAAGTCCGGCCGCGGCCGCCGGTTACCGCCCCCAGCTCGGGGGGAGCCCGGGGGGCAGGACAGGGAGGGAGGACGTGGCGCGCACTGAGGTGGCCAGCGGCGAGGCGGGGAGTGTCCCGGAGAGGCCAGGCCGGGGGCGGGGGGCCGGGCAGGCGCGCGCTCAGGACCCTCCCCGCGAGCAAGCGGGGCTCCAGGACCCCGCCCGCCGCGGCGACGCAGAGGGGCCGCTCTGACTCGAAGCCCAGCTCCGCGCGCCCGCCCCTCCCTCCGCCATATGGAATTCTACGGCCTCAGAAAGTGACACGTCGAAGATTCCTCGGCCTCCTGCCCGCCCTCCCCCTCCCTGCCGCGTTCCTGCCGCGGAGACTCCGGGAGGGGGAGCAGATTCCTCAGACGAAATCTGCCGGGAGGGCTGGGGAGGGGAGGAGGCCGAGAGCCGCTGCCCAGATTCTTTTCCCAAGAGGAATCTACCCGTTTCTTTCCCTCCTCCAAACCCCGGCGAGCAGGACAGGCAGTGGCCGCGCTGCGGGGTAGGGGCCGCCCCTCCTGGGTCCCGCATTCCCGGAGAGCCAGGCGGCCGCAGGGCGCGCAGTACTCTGGCGCCAAGTTTTCGCCGGGGAGCCCGCAACGCTCAGGGACCGGGACGCACTTCGGCGGACTCAGCGTCAGGCCGGGGCTTTCCAGAGAACCGGCAGCCGCGCGCGGGTCCCGGTCCCCTGGGGCCGCGGCCCTGGCCCCCGCATACCTCACCTTCCTTGGGCGGAAACGCGGGCTCAGCGCGCCAGACACCGGGTCTCCCACGCCTTTCCAGAGGCAGCCCGGTAGGATCCTGCAGCCGCTCCCGCCGCCGCCGCTCTCCTCCTCCTCCAGCCGCCACTCAAATAACTAGCAGGAGGGTTTACTGGGGGATTCCGCCATGTCAATGATGTCGGGACCACATGGGGCTCCGGGACCCGCCCACTGCCGTAAACCTCCGAGTATACCCGCCGCACAATCTCCGGCCAGGAGGCGCCGCGAGAGCCTCGCGCGCCCCCAGCCCGGCTTAGCAAAGTAGAAATTCTTTGAGCTCAGCCGGACTCTACAAGTCCGAGGCTCAGGACAGCGAGCGACTCCTGAACGGCGAGGGCTGCACGGTCCAAAACACCGATATAAAACATGGCAGTGTTTACTCATTAATAATTGAAGCTAAGACCCTGACATTTCTTCATTTACATATATGTTTCCTTTGGGGGGGGGGTTGTTAGTCCTCCACAGCAACTTTGTGTGCTATTTTATAACTCCCTTTCTATTTCCCACAGCATTTCGTTCAAACAGCTAACACAGCATGAACAAATTCTTTATACCTGTTGAAATTATCTATTGCCCTTATCAGGCATGTTCTCTAAAGGGCAGAGACCAATCCTCACTCTTATCTGTCAAACATAGCTCCGCAACAGGACTGAGTTTAAGTCAAGGTGAGTTTGTATTAATTAAATCAAAGCTAATGTATTCCTAGCGTTAAGGCTTAAAGAGGATAGCAGATTGCACCACATCCCACCTGGCGAATGATCCAGGCGACAAGAGAGCAAAAGTTATCCTTCCACACCTTTCGCCATTAACTAAGATAGATTCTCACTGGATTAAGGACTTAAACTTAAGACATGAAACCATAAAAATACTTGAAGAAAGTGCAGGGAAAACACTTGAAGAAATCGGCCTGGGCGAATTTTTTATGAGACGGACCCCACACGGGCAATAGAAGCAACATCAAAAATACACTATTGGGACCTGATTAAACTAAAGAGCTTTTGCCCAGCCAAAAGCACAGTAAGTAGGGCATGCAGACAGCCCTCAGAGTGGGAGAAAATATTTGCAGGTTATGTCTCTGACAAAGGTTTAATAACCAGAATCCATAGAGAACTCAAACTTATTAACATAACAAAAAACAAAAAAACCCCAAGTGATCCCATTGCAAGGTGGGCAAAGGACTTGAAAAGAAATTTCACCAAAGAAGATAGGCGTGCGGCCTATAGATATATGAAAAAATGCTCACCATCCTTAATCATTAGAGAAATGCAAATCAAAACTACTTTAAGATATCACCTAACTCCAGTAAGATTAGCCCATATCACAAAATCCCAAAACCAGAGTTGCTGGCGTGGATGTGGAGAAAAGGGAACACTTCTACATTGTTGGTGGGAATGCAATTCAGTACTTTCCTTTCAGAAAGACATCTGGAGAACACTTAGAGAACTAAAAATAGACCTGCCATTTGATCCTATAATTCCATTATTAGGTATATACCCAGAAGATAAAAAATCACATTACAATAAAGATGTTTGTATCAGAATGTTTATTGCAGCCCAATTCATAATTGCCAGGTCGTGGAAGAAGCCCAAGTGCCAATCAATCCACGAATGGATCAATAAACTGTGGTATATGTACACCATGGAATACTATGCAGCCCGAAAGAAAAACGAAGACTTTATCTCCTTCATGTTTACATGGATGGAACTGGAAAATGTTCTTCTTAGCAAAGTATCACAGGAATGGAAGAAAAAATATCCAATGTACACAGCCCTTCTATGAAACTAATATATACTTCTCAAATGAAAGAAACAACTTAATTCTAGCCCAAGAATATGGGGAGGGGGTGGGGAAGGGGAGGGGACAAGGGTGGCTGGGTGGTGGGAGGGTGACTGGAAAGATCACCTATATTTCTGTCTAACAAGGGTACAAGTGAACTTTTCTAGAACTAGAATGTAAATGTTTTGACACAGTGACTATGCAAATGACATGAAATTTATGTCAACCATCTTGATGAAAGTATTTCAAAATGTATATGAAAACTCTACACTGTACCCCATGTTTGCATTAATGTATACAGCTATCATTTAAATAAAAAAAAAAAGAGGACACGTTTCTGGCATTCTGAATCACTCCTCACCTTCTTACAATCTCACAGCTACCCCCCACCCAACGATTTCATAATTCTTTGCAGTCCTTCTCACATCGCTCTGAAGTTATGCTTACCTCTTTCACTTGGCTGAGTTTTGTTCACGTTTTTGTAACCCTGGTCTCATCCTAGCGTTCTACTTTAATATAGTACCCCCTTATGTTTTTTGAATAAATTAGTTGTAAAGTATATGGAAGAATCTGAGTGACTAGATAAATGGGAAAACTTCAGAGGGTGAAAAGTTAAGTTCAAATGTTGAAGACAAGTTTGGCAAAGAAGGTAAAAGTAGGCAACAGAAGTTTAGAGGACAGAATTATTTACTCCTATTTCTTCTACTAGACTGAATTTTTCTTATAAAGAAGAAAAAGAATCAATGTACATAAAATGCTTTATAAATTAAAATGCACATAACTTGCTGTTTCACTTAATCTTCTTATTCCTAACACTTACCACCAGTTTTGGCATAGAAAAGAAGCCAAATAAATGTTTGCAAGATGAGAGGAAGGATGGTAGAGTGGAAAGAGCATGAAATGTAATCAGACAAAAATCAGTGGTGTTGAACAGGTTTGTAAAGTTCTCTGAACCTGGATTTTTTTATTTATTAAATCATGATATTGCCTTCTTGTTAAGGTTGTTGTAAGCATTAAAATACATAAGCACTCAATACTCAAAAATAAACATTCATTCCTCCTTGAACAAATGAATGAATAAGTGAGTGAAAGAAAGAAAACTTTCCTGGAAAGGTTAATAGGACAGAAAATTGGAAGCAAAAGGTGAGACTTGTAATGGGGGCTCCCAACTACACTATGAGGGGGTCCCGATTTAATGCAATGAGAACACACTGTGGAATCCTGTAATAGGTTTGAAGGTTGACGACCCTGGTGCCAGTATGTCAGGTCTGAGATTTGCCCTGGTTCTGCTTTGGAAAAGTTGAAAAAAGATTTAGACCAAAGTCATGGTTCTGGAAATGGGGAGAAGGGCATCAACCTGAGGTAGTGAGAACTAGTATCTGGTGATAATAACCCAAATCATTTGTTCTACATCCCAAACTATTAAACCATTGTCACAGCTAAAACTTTGCTCCAAACTCATCTTAAGATGTGCTCAAATACAATGATTAACATCCAAGTGAAGATGCCTGGAAGTTAAGGCCTATAATAAAATACACATACTTGTGAACTCTTTTTTCACCCATGTAATGCTAAATGAGTCATATATTTAAAGAAGTTTCAAAGTCATACTTCTCAATCTCAAAAATTTTATAATGAAAGAAATGCAACCCTAACACACAGGGAAGAATGAAAGAGTCAAAACTGGCATTGAAAGGTCTCAGACTTTAAACCTCTAAACAGGTCTGCAGCCTTAAATGTTTCATATTGAACCCTTTTAATAGTCATAATGTATAGAAGACCCAGCTGCGTCCTCAGTCTCACTATCCTCCTGCATACAGCTTGGGCTGCTAGATTCTCACAGGAAGGCTCAGCCTTGCCTCTGATCTTGAAAATCACTGTTCACCTTAAATCGAGAGCATTAACTCTTTGCTTCTACTTATTCTGTATCCGAAGCCAGATATGATACCAGCTTCAATATCAACATTGACAAAAAGTCAACTAATCTTGTTTTGAAAAGTGATCAAAATTTACTAGCACAAAGAATGGCCAGTTTAGTCAATAATATAACCTATAACATAACCTAAGAGCATCATTGCAACTTCACTTAAACACATTCCTCCTTAACAATTTAACACTTGAATCTGTGATTTCACCTTCTCTATTGCTCAAGGCAAGAAAAGGGCACATTTAACTCAACATTTTAGGGGGGAAAAAAAAGACATTTCAAATAAGGAGATCTATTCCACAGTTATCAGAACTATTCAAGGAGAAGCTGTATAACTGCCAGGGCTCATAAAATCAGAATTCATAGACTCCTGCTCTCCCTCCCAAAGCAGAATCTTTGCTCCCATGTCCACTACTGTAAGCACCCAGCCTCAGCCTGAACACCTCTGGGTAAAGGGAAAACACTTCCTGCCAAGACAGCCTTTTATCCACAAAGCTAGAACTAAACCAAATCCCCTGCCTCCTTGCAACTTTCCCCCACTGATGGAATTTCTGCCCTCTGGAGACTGACAAAATCACAACGCTTCCCTTTGATTTCCCTTCCAATAAATTGACCATGCCTGTCACTCTCTAAAGATTCTCTTTTCTTAGGCAAACAACTCCAACATGCTGAACTTATCACGGATCTTATCTCCTTTTTTTCTCACCACCTTTGAGGACCTACTTGTCAGCGTCTCTGGAAGTAGGGAATCCACAAGATTTCAGACATGATCCAAACACAACCAGAGTGGTAACCTTTCCTGTTTCAATTTGAATAAAACAATTCTATCATTGTAAGTTAATATTATGCTAACTTTCTTAGCAGCCTCTTCATCCTACTAACTCAAGCTTCTTCTTCCATGAAATACTGTCAAGCAAGGCATAAATTAGGTATGCAAGTGATTTAATTTTAATTGACATTAATTAGCTATTGACTAAATATTTAACTTTATTAAATTTTATTTGTAAGTTTCATTCTCATATTCCAACAATCTTTCCCTGTTTTATAACTTGATAAATGTGATACACATGCTTTTCACATTGCTATCCAAGTCATTAACAAAATCACAGCATAAGAGAAGGACAAGGATGTTTCACTAGCAATTTTCCTCTTGAGATAAAGTTATTTAAAAAGATATAAATCTGTCCATCATGCTGACTTACCTGGAATCACATCCCCATCAGGGAGCAGACTGACTCTCACTTTCTTCATGGTCATTGTCACCATTCTTGCCCCCTGCTCTAGTTTGGATGTTTGTACCCCAAACCTCATGCTGAAAATTGATCCCCATGTTGGAGGGAGGTGTCTGGGTCATGGGAGCAGGCCCATCATGAATGGCTTGGTGCGATCCTGATGGTAATAAGTCAGTTTTACCAGTTTTATTAGT